TATGTCTAGCACACTCCTCCATTTTAACAGGAACCCTTTAGTTTTGTAAATTTAGTTTTTGTAAATTTAGCAGTCATTTTCTTGTGGGTCCTGCATGTCCAATTTATACAGCAACAAACAGTCCAGGCAAGAGCAGTTTCTTGCCCAAATGGCTAGTCTTGCCATGTTGAAAGCAAACTCCATAACGAGTTTCTTCGATGCCCATCCTCCTTTCTGACATAATTGGTGTGCCAGCAGCAGTTGTGTCTCACTGCCAAGAAAAACCCTAAACCATTTAAATGCCATATTTCTGTAGGTCTTTGAAAGGTTTGAAGAACACCTAACCATCTCAAATACATCTCTATATCTAGAAAACCTAACTAACCTAATTATAAGTTCTGACTATTATAGGTAAAAGATCTGTATAAACACAATACCTAAACAAGAGGAGACATATACATATCACAAAATTGACCTTAAAGTTGTATCAATAAATAAAAATCTTTACCAATACAAAGTATTCATTCCTATATTAAAGGAGTGCACCACCACTGCCAGGAAATCTGAAGACTCTTGATCAGACCTAAACATTCTGGTACTGCTTTTTACAAAATTTCTGAGAAAAAGAGAGCTCACCATAAAACACCATCCTCTTCAGGATAAAACACAGATGCTACACAATAAACTCACAGCAGTGGTGGCTACCAGACAAGACCTCCTGAGGAGGGGGCCAATCAGCAATCATCATAGGTAGGGGTGGAACTCATGGGGCACCACCTTCTTGGTGAGACAAAGGTTGCTAGAGGGAGATTCATATTTCACAGTGGAGTAGACCCTGGTAAATTCCCTTGCTCAAGGAAATATTCCCTCACCCCTATACTCCAATTTAAATGCTGTGGACCCCTTTCAAACACACACACAAAAAGACATCAAAGCAAGAGGGGATTTATTAGGAAGGTGGGGTTTGGTAGGAGAAAGAAAATAAGAGAGGATATTGGGGTAGAAAATGATCACAAAGCAAGACCTTGTCTATACACACACACACACACACACACACACACACACACACACACACACGTGTATGTAGGAACTTATGAAAATATATTTTTAAAAAAGAACAAAACCAAAGAAAGAAAAAACAAAGACCTAGATAATGAAACTGAGATACTGCTACAGGAGGGAGGAGGGAGACCTAATTTTTTCCTGAGGCAGAGAAGAAAGATCCAGCTGAGCTAAGTAGGAAGGAATCACTAACTCCACCTGCTTCTTTATCTTAATAATTACTAGTGTGTTCATGTGCATGTGGGTGTGTATTGTATGCTTGCATGTGTGGAGGTCAAAGGACAATTTTTTACAGTCAATTCTCTCCTTCCACTATGGGATCCAGAGATAGAATTCAGGTCATCGGGTTTGCAAGGCATGGGCTTTTATTCTCTGAGCTATCTTGCCAATCCTCCACCTGCTTCATAAACAGTATATTAATCTTATGCCCAGCCCATATTAACCCTGACACCTGATACTCCCAATCCCAGAGCCCCTGCCTCACAATACATACAGTGTAAGTTCAGCTTTACATCACTGTTGGTTCAGTGAACATTTTTGTCAAATTTGAAAATCAATTGCCCAATATTCATCTGCTTTAGAACTTACAAAACAGGGGCTGGAGAAATAACTTTTCACATGTGTTTAGTCGGAAAAACAAAATCAGTTATTGACAATGCCCTATTATTTCCAAACGTTTCTAGGTATTTATCATTATATTATAGATCATGGTTTAAAACACAGTATATCTTTAGTATCTTTTAAATTTAGGGTGCACTTACTGCTTCCAGTTGTTTCTTCTTCTGCACTAGTAATTCCAACATAAGGTTGACATTGGCCAAATCAAGGTTATCCTGATCAGTTCCTAGCAAATCTTGAAATATTTGCCACCTATGCCCATTCTAAAATTAAAAAGAACATGGCATCTTAACAACACTGCTTTAGATTCTAAAACAAACATTTAAGAAGTACTTTCTCAAGTGTTTTGTTACATCAAAAGTAGATTGCACTTCCATTCTAACTAACTTCTCCACAATTAGCGGAGCTACAATTTAAGTACTATCTCTACTTTGAATAAATAAAGCTAACAAGTATAGAAGGCACATGAAAGATAAATATTAATTTATATAAATATTAATATATATCTCCAAGTATAATATATCAAAACACCTGGATTTTCAGGCTTGCACTTGGTAAAATATTAGCTTCAGCACAGCTGTCTCAATAATGAGCAGCTTATTCAAAATACCTTGATATATGACCCATCACAAGTTAGATACAAGTAAACCCTATCTAAAGTGATATCACCAGTTCCTTCAAGTAATGGCCAGTCTAGTAAAGTACCACAGACAATACAGCTACAAAAGTTATTATTTACTTATTTGAGTAAGGTACTGTTAAACAAGCTTGCTTTAAGAACAGTCAATTCTTTACTAGGTATTAATATCTACTATCAAATAAAATGAATTTAGTAGAAATAGGAGTAAGGGGGGGTAAGAATATTGCCTAGTTCATAGGGCACTTTTCTACTACATACAAAGTCCTGGGCCCAATCACCACTATTAAAAAACAAACGAACAAAAATAGAAATAGTAATAAGAGCTGAAACATACGGTGCTACTCACTGAGTGGTCCAATTTGAACCTCTTTTCCTCAAATCTTTGCTTCTGTTTGAGAATGAGCTCATTCACTGAAAACAAAAATAAAAAAGCACACAAAATTTGTATTCTTGTTATATGTATCTTCGACTTGTTCTGTTCACGTAGATTTTATCTTTGCAGAGTCCCAATTTTAAAGAAATATGAAGCTAACTTTGTTAGCTTTCTATTCTAATTTGAATTAGGAATTTTTCTTCTGTACTTGTTTTAGGAAATTCATTATAAGTAATTCTACTGCTACAGGAAATTCATTATGTTATATACCCCATTTTTATGTTTCTTAATAATAATACTATTAGTATCTGGAGAGAGATTATTTTTTCACTGTGTTATAACACTTAAGTGCATTCTATGAGACAAACATTCAAGATTTTTGCTTTGTTGTAACTTTGGAACACCTTGGAAGATGCTGATAATTACATATTTAAAATCATTTCCTCCTTCTTATAACATGATTATTTTTCCAAATCTCAGACTGCCATATAACTTTCAGAGATGCCAAATCTCTTCTCAACCATGCTGTCACTATTCTAAGCCAAACTAGCCAAATCACAGTTTGATTTTGGCTTTTTTTTTTTTTTTTCTGAGACAGGGTTTCTCTGTATTGCTTTGGAGCCTGTCTTGGAACTCACTCTGTAGACCAGACTGGCCTCAAACTCACAGAGCCTGCCTCTATTTCCCAATTGCTGGGACTAAAGGCATGTGCCGCCAATGTATGGCTGCTTTTGGATTTTGAAAAAAGATCTTAGTATATATCAAGCCTGACTGGGATTCCTGACGCTCCTACCTCAGCCAGGTTTATAGAGATGCCACCCACAGCCTGGAGACACACATACGGCTGATCAATGAGAGATGTGCTCTCTTTCAGATGGGAGAAAAAAAAATTCTCTCCCCGTCTCCAGAAGGACATGGTACCTGAACCTTCTTAAAGTCAATTTGAAGTTCTGTGGTGGCTATGCACGTCATATCCTCATGAAAGAAAAAAAAAAAAAAAGTGACATTATCAATGAAGTGCTGAATTATTAGCTCTGGAAATTCTCTGGAAACAAATGCAATTTAAACAACTGGGACTTTTAATTTATATTTGGAGGTGTTTTTTATTTTTCTCTCTCTTACAAAAATAATGATAACAAAAGAGCAGAGAAATGGTGCTAGAAATTATTTGGGTGACAAATGGAACATGACAGAGTTGGTATCCAAGATGAAATGCTGAATACAGTCCACTACACAAATAAATCAAAATAGATACCAAATCCACCTTAGGTTTGAAGCTTCAACAGTGAATGAAATGATCCATAGCTTCAAATAACTCAAACTAGAAAAGATATACATATGATGTGGTCGTTATAATAAAATGGGATAACCAATAAATACTATCATTGACATAGACTTACAAAGTACACAGGCCATATGAAGTTCAAATAAGAACAGAGCCAAAATAAGCACAGACTCTCTAGACAGAAAGATAAATTAAAAAATACAGATAAAAGTGTGTATTGTGTATGTGTGTGACCAATTCATGAAACATCAGAGTATGGTTTTATGAAGGTTAACAGAGTTAAGAATTAGAAGCAGAATATTAATACATCAGTCTGATTCTAAAAAGTAGACAAGAACCTCACAAAATTATTACAATCTACAAAAGAGATTGAGAATTTGAACTAACACAATAAAGAATGAAGAAAATTAAAGTACACTAGAGTGGGTCTGGAGGCACTGGTGATTAATAGACTTTGCCTTACAGAAGACCAGCTTCAGTCCCTAGCATTCACGTAGCAACTTAGGACCACCTACGCCTTTGTCTGGCCTCCTCGGCATGTACTTGGTACACATAAACATATGCAAACAAAAAAGGTCATATGCATACAATAAAAAGTCAATCTTTTAAAAAGAATAAGCCAGAGTATAATGTTTCAGTTATATTGGCATTTGAGTAAGAACTTTGACTTGACAGTTACAATATTGCATGCTATTACATCTTTGATTCTTACCAACACCATTATGTCAAGATTTTTGAAGGTTAAAAATTGCAAAATAGTTATAGAAAATGAAAATACAATAATTGGTATGAAGTAGTATAGCATATAATATTATAGAAAAATTATATTTCAAGAAAAAAAAGGAAAAACAGGCACGGTGGCACAGGTTTATAAACACAGTAACATTTGAGTGTATTGCATGGTAAAATTACAAGTTCAAGGGCAAATTGAACTGTACAGAGAAGCCGTGTCTCAAACATTTTTGGTAAGGAAATAATGTAGTTAGGCAAAATAATCTTTAAACACTGACTCAGAATTTTTGTTTATGAGTACTCTGCATGCATACCTGCACACCAGAAGAAGGCATCAGATTCCATTATAGATGGTTCTGAGCCACCATGAAGGAACTGAACTTAGGACCTTTGGAAGAGAAGTCAAGTGCTCTTAAACACTGAACCATCCAATCAGCTCAGAATTTTTGTAAAGATACTGAAAACACTGATTATTTTACCCTTATACTTCATAGGGTAAAGAGGGTACTATGCACAATACTGGTGCAGAAAAGCAACCATCAATCTTATACCACTGTGACCCATATGATGTATATTAACAGCCTGTCTGGCAAGACATACCTCACTGGTACAACAGTGAAACCAGACACTTTCTGATTGGATTTAATGCCCAATCTACAGAAGGAAACCATATCTAGCACCACTGTCAGGCCTAAACCTGTGACTGGACAGATCATAAGCCCTAGGGGAAAATTTACTATTATTCTCCTAAATGGGCACAGTATTAAACTTAATTGTCAACTAGTAGAAGGCCATACATCTAGAAATATATGGGCAGCACAAACTGGACTAGACAGGTATAAAAGAAAGAGGACACAAGGCCAGGTTGACAGGGAAATTGGGGGGGGGGGGTAGATTTGAAATGAACTGGGAAAAGGGTGAATATGGTCAAAATACAGTGTATGAAATTTTCAAAGAATTAATAAAAATTCTCTTTTAAATTATACCTTTAAATAAATAGCAGTTTGGCTATGAAATAAAAGAACTGATCTTTTTTCCTTTTTTCTTATGTATACTTTACTTCTTATAGCATTTCTTAAAAAATATTTAGTTTTCACTTTAAAAAGTCTGTATTACTTTACCTAAGGTACTCTTGAGCTACAGTATTACGATTATTCTTTAGATGATGACACTGAGTACCTTAGGTCAGATCAGGTTCTTTAAATTAAGCCATATCCATAAAGTATATAATAGAGTACCTAACAGGCATTCTGACTGCCTAAGTATGAATGTATATATGGGAGAGATGCAATAGATAAATGGGAAGAGGTGGAGGGGGTAGGAACAGAGGGAAGGAGAGAATGAGGAGCAGGGAGGGAGGGAAGGAAGGAAGAGGAGAGAAAGATAAAGAGAGAGAGAGAGTTGCAGAGTCTCCCTGTGCAGTTTAGAACCAAACTAAAAATCCCCCTACTTCATCCTCTGAAATGCTGGGAGATTACAGGTGTTCAGCACCATAAAAGTCTAAAGATAGATTTCAAGTTTGCAAATAAGAGGTAGATTCATAACAAAACTAAGAAAAGTTAAATTATAAACTTTATAAACATAGAAATGCACATACATGGGGTGAGGTGGGCAGGGTGGAAAATAGGGATAAAGTAAAGACTAAGCCCTGAAACTGGAGATTGTACCTGATGACTTAGGGGAGGGAAAAAAAAGGAACTCTGGGTGTACTGGGGGTGTTTTAGGTTTTGTTAGAATTTCCTTCCTTTTCAAGTCTGAGTAATATTTCTACTTTGTATTTTGTCCACTTAGCCTTCCATGGTTCCATCTCCTGGCTCCTGTGAATCTGATACTATGAATGTGCATATGCAAATACTTCTGCAGAACTCTGCTTCCAATTCTTCCTGGTATCTACTTATAGGAAATTGTTGGATCATGAAAATTTTGTTGTTTTCAGAAAACACCATACTATATTCCACTACAAACACTATACACAGCATTTCCATATCTTTGCAATCCTTACTAGCAGCCACCTTAACGAGTATATTATCTGTGTTTTTTGAGTTCTCTTTTTCTTATTCTTTAGGCTGTTGTTTTACTTGTGCTGATTTACTACAAAGGGTATCTTAAAGGCTAGAAATGAAGAACCAGGTCTAGATTGTCACAGACTAAGGTAGGTGGGGAAGGACATGGAGCTGCCTACTCTTTCCAGGCATGCCACTCTTCTAGAACCTCCACATGTTCAACAACATGCACATCTCTGCACCAGACATCATTTTGGTTTCTTACAGAGACTTCATTAAGTTGCAGGAACTGATTCAATCAATGGTCATTGGGTACCAACTCACCCTTCAGTTCCTCTCATCTGTCTGTTGAAGGTGGGCTTGAAGTTCCAAACTTCTACAAAGTAGTTAGCCCCCTGAGCAACCTGGAATCTCCCAGACAATCAGACACCCGTTTTACTACTTGTTTTTCATAGGAAGTAGAATATTCTACTTGGAACTAATCATCATCATGAAATTTATATATATTTTGGGCAGATAAGATTAGTCTTACTATTTCTATCATGTCTAATAGTCCTATTCCGTTAATTTCTAATTTTATGTTAAGAAATTCAATGTGTAAAACTAATAATAACTTATTTTAAGACAGGGATGCCTGAATCACACAGGATCTTTCTGTGTTAGCCTCCCAAGTGTTGCATAGAACATATCTAACTAAAACCATTCATCTTTAAATTCACAATTAGCACCTGATTACATTAGTTCCAAGATTTTACCATTTACAGCTAAAGTTTTACTACAGTTCTCACATTTCCATATCAAATCCTGTATTTATATCCTCTTCCTCCAACTGGGAGACCTTTCCAGTTCATACACTCATTATCCAGGAAATCCCATATTCAATTTTTTTCTTCTCCAATCAGTCAACACTGACCAAGCATATGTTTTCCCTCCCCATCAAACCTTTCCTTTGTTACTTTTCACTGCTAACATGTCAGAAGAAACATAGAAACATGTAATAAATTCTACATACAAAAACATAAAGGGCTTCTAGACCTCAGACAACCTTTTGAAACCTTACATTCTGTCTAAACATGTGCAAAAAACTCTGAAGAGCATGTTGGGTTTTGTTTTTATGAAACTGAAAAATAACAAGAAATGGTACTAACCATGTATAGAGTCTATGCCATAGCCCAAGAAGATGAAAGCACCCTGGTGAGTAACAGAGAAAAACTTGCTTACTTCTGAGTTGGGATTTCTGAATAAACTATTGTTAGCATATATTTTGTGGAAAGAGTATAATAAAAATAATTTCAAAGACTCACCCAAGAAATTAGGATAGAGATGGTCAATATTGTCCACAACATAATTACACTTGGGACATCTATTATTATTGTCCTCCAAACTCTGATGAATACACTTGTAGCTATTAGCATGGGGGGGAAAAAAACACAAACTTAATTAAAACAATGAAGAAATTAACAAACTGGTCACAAAACACTGTCTATTAGTGTTCTCACTTTCAACATAACTAATATAGCCAATTTATTCCCACTTATATCTTTGTATAACAAATGAAATACAAAGTACCTAATGAATGAACAATATGTAAACTATTTCAGCATGTATTGACTGAACAATATTTTAACTATTTCAGCATTTATTGAGTGAACAATATATGAACTATTTCAAAATAAACTCAAAAAATTCTACATGTACATGTAGCATAAAATGTAAATGAGGACTAAGTAAGTTTTAGGTTATGAATTTATTTTATTTCCTAGGGAAGCAAATGGCTATGGTCTAACTAATCTTGGGAGTACTAATATCCTTATATTACACACACAGTTCAAACAAACAAAAACTCTAGTCAAGGAAAGACAAAAATCAAGTCAAAGAGAATGAGAAAATCATCACCTTTACTATAATGATTCAAAAACTATGTGTTAATTTTTACTAACAGGAATGGAAAAATAAAATATTGTTATGCTCCAGAAGACATAATTGTAAATAGCTGACAGAAATGCAACCAGTACAACTTTCTTAAAAGGTATATGCAAGAAAAATCTTAAGGCTTTATATTCCTTTTAATATGGTAAATTTTACTTATAGGAGTTTATCATAGGGAAAAATATATGCTACCCAATGCAGAGTTATCTAACAGCATCATAAGAGCAAACTGTAAGAGGAACAACCTAAACTACACATACAAATTGACTAAATCTGTAATTATCAATTCAGTACAATGGTATACTGGCAATGAAAATCTTATTTTACCTGTGTATATATATTTTATTTATGAATAAGTTATTATAAAATGTACTGACTCATATATACTATAGGAAATGTTCTTTCTTATATTTTTGTAGTACACTACTTTTAAAAAATGCTAATTTTATTAGTACTCTATGTATGTGACAGTGGGAGGCGTATGCAATGGATCAGAGGACAACTATGTGGAGTAGATTCATTCCTTCCACCTTTACATGGCTTTTCAAGATCAAAGTAAGATTGATAGTTTACATAACAAAAACAATTTGCACACTGAACCATCTTGCTGTTCAAATGATGGACCTTTTGTAACTATGCATTACCTTGCAAAAATAAATAAATACTCTAAGTACTGTTCAACCTTACCAAAAAAATATCAAACTGACATGGGGACAAACATCACTGTGTGTGTGTGTGTGTGTGTATGTATATATATATAGAGAGAATATATATATATATACATATATATATATCATATACACACACTTTAAATAAACTAAAAACTTTAAATAAACTAAAAACACATTTACAATGTTAGTTAACAGTGTTTCTGTCTGTAAGTAAGAAATACTTTCTTTGTAGATGTTAACTCAAATTTCTATAGTAAGTGTGTATTAGTTTGACAATCAGAAAGGAATTAATTTCTAAGAAATTAGAAAGGTACTTAATTAAAAATCATTTCTAACACACCTTTTCTGTCCAGATTACTAGATATTTACTTCACCTTTAAAATGAAGCTGATTTTTTTATCTAGCTACCTTCCATTCATGATGTTTCACTGCTCTACTTTTCTACTACCTTCATTTCACATGTGTTACTTTCAAAACAAGCAAGAACAGGAACTCTCTTTGGCACAGCGCAGTGGCCTAAAGTTAGAGTAATTGTCTACCCATAATAAATACAAACTCTAGTATGTACTAAACAAATGATATGAACACTGTTCTAAAAACTCTATCTTGCAGCAACAGCAAGGCTATGATTAGCTTATTACCACCAGATATGCTCCAAATCTAAATAGACACTTCCTATATGGACATATAGATAAAAGAAATAACAATTAAATGTTTTTATTTTCATTAAAGACATATGATGAGGTACACAAATACAACAGACAAAAAGTTCAATGTGGAAAAGGTTGTCTTAGGGAAAAAGGAAATGAATGATTGTTATCAGGAAATAAACGTAAGAAAAGTTAGGCTTTTATCAATAAATTTAAATAAAGCCAGTTATGAAGGAGGAACCTGGGGGAGAGTATAAAGATGAGAGATATTGACAGAGAAAATGAGAATACTTTAGATGTTAACAATAAGCTTCCAGTTAAGAAAAATGAACCAATAATGCAACAAAAGCCTAGAGCAGTAGTTATCAACTTAGGGGCCATGACCCCCAGGGTCACAAATCAGAGATTTACGATTTATTATGAAGTAGCAGTGAAATCATTATATGGTTGGCAGTCACAACACGAGGTACTGTATTAAAAGGGTTGCAGCATTAGGAAGGTTGAAAACCAATGCTCCAGAGGCTGATGACATAGCTAATAGTGGAATGTTTGTGTAACAAGAGTAGAATGTTTATGTAACACTCAAAAGGCCCTGGTGATCAAATTCCAACAACACAAAAATAAATAAAAATATAAGTGAAACAGAACAAGTTGTAAAATCAGAATCTTGTCAATATATTCAAATATATTATATTATCTACTTAAAAACATCAATTTCTGTAACATCCACTATATTCCATATAAATAAGCTGATTTCCATACTTTCCCTTCAAGATAGAAAGAAAAAAGAAAAAAGAAAAAAAGCACTGGGATGAGCCAAAAAGAATTGTCCTTGCTAATAAAAGTGCAACTGACTTCTCATACTGGACTTGAAACTATCAATCTATACTAAAAAAGTTAAGGTGCAGCAACTTACATACAACTATATAAAGCTTAACTGTAGGTGACGATCAACCCTCTTTCTCTAATTCATTAAAGGCAAATTCCTTTACAGTCTAGTATGATATCCTGAGTTAGAAATCAATAAATACAGCATGCATGAAGGAACAGATGTAACAAAGAATGTTACATACATTACGCTGCTTTTCATGCAATATAAAAACATCATCTATTAAAAGTCATATGGAAATCTACTAATATGCAAGCTAATAAAAATCACACTTTAATTTTTAAAAATCTGAAGCCAACAGCCCACATGAATGAATAATGCTGTTGGGGGATACTTGATCACACTGTGAACCCCAAGTTAGCATTTGCATTAATTAAATAAAATTAACCTTGGGTCAGGAGGCTGAGTTAGCAACTAGTTGACAGAAAGTAATCATAGAGCATCAGAGGGCATCTGGAAGAGTTGGAGAGGGGCACAGAAGTAGTAGGGAAGGATTTTGAGTGGCGCAGCTTTTTCTGTTTTGAAGGAGTGGAACAATGTGCTTTCTGGGAGACACTAGCAAGGATAGAAGGTTAGCTAGTCGCTACTTGACCTCTCTAAGCTAGCAGGTTTTCACCCCAGCCTTTAAATCTCAAGTCTTGTTTATATATAGAATAAGTTAAAGCTACCTTTAGTAGAAAGGACAGAGCCAGTGCGTGTAGGAACAAAATTCTGCCAGGCCTGGCAATGCTGCCAGAGAAGCAGGCCAGTAACTGCAGAGCTGCAATTGCTGAAATAGCAGCCACTGTGCTTAAGATAAAGTAACACAATGCTGCTCTCAGAAGCCATAAGTTATTAAACAAAAATCTGACTGCCACCTCTATGTGAGTAATTAGTCAGAAAGGTCCGAAAGGCACAAGACAATGCAGGCTGACACCACTGCTCTTCACTGTCTACCAGACTAGATAAGACCCTACTTAAATCAAAGGACAGAGAAATCAAGCTGGAATTGTGATAGAAGTTTTCTCCCTTCTAACTAGCATTTATAGTAGTGGAAGGCATTATGCAGATTCCTGGGGTAGAAAAGTAACCAAGACTCTCTTACCCAGCTGTGAACCTTTCAAGCTACAATAACAACCTCCTAGGCAAGATGTGCCCACATGTGCCAATAGTAGCATATCTGCTATGGGGGTAATTATTTTCTGGTTGGGTTTTAGGCCTGCTGCACAGTAAGTATGAATTCATGCCGGGCACTATAAATCTGGTCAAAAGACCATACCTAGGGGTGTTACTGGACCTAGGAGGAAACCTACTATTGTGGTTCTGCTATATGGACATGATGTCAAAATGATTTCTGAATAATTGTTTATGCCCATGTAATAGTGCTTCTCTCAGCTTTGGTCAAAGAAGCTTCTCTTTGTAGTGGGTTACAGTTAACCAAAGACTTGTAACTGGTTAGAGTGCTAAAAATAAGTAAATTTTAAATGGTCAGCCATAAAAAGGACACGTTTAATCCTCCCCACCCCAATCTTAAGGAACATGGAAAGAGACTGCGACAGGAAAGAAAGAGTACTGTGAAATGCTGTCTTTTGGAAATGACACTACTTTGTACCCAAGGTCTTACAACAGCAGTGGCTACCTACACAAGACCTCCAAAAGACTGGGCCCATGAATAGACCATCACAGATGGGGGAGGGACACAAAACTTGCTAAGCTTTTTTCCAGGAATTATAGGCGATTAATGGTTACCAGAATAGGAGGTACATACAGATAATATTCATCAATGTTGTAACCACTAGTAAGCTGCCCTTGCTTAAGTTAATAACTGTCTGCCCATGTTCATTCAGGCACCCCTTATTAAATGCAGTGGGGCCACAAAACAAAGATGTGAGCTAAGAAAAGGACTAGTAGGGAAGAGGAGGGTTGCTGAGGACAGGAGGGAGGTAAAAGGAGAGTGTAATCATAATATATACACATATAAAATTTTCAAATAACCAAATTAATCAACATAAAATGAAAAATAAGACATGCAAGTAGGAGGAGGACTTTCTGGTAGAAGAGATCTGGAGGGAAGGAAGGAGATAAGAGTGTATAATAAGGAGGGTATTATGATTAAAGTACATTATTTATGTATGAATTGTGAAAGAATAAATACAAAAAGAAAAACAACATGGCAAAGAATTCTGAAAAAAAAATCCTTTTCTTAACACTGAAAACATAGAACAATGAAGAAAAAAACGACTAAGAGCAATATTTACAGTCTATAGCACATCATTCTATAATAAAAGTTGCTATTCTAAGTCAAGACTATATAGTGCTATAATTTCATTTTAGTGGAGGACATAAATAATACAAATTAAGAAAGCTAGTTTAATCTAAACTCAACTAACCCTGAAACATCAGCCTCCAGATCAAAGGCCTCACCCATCAGTAACTCAAGGATATCTACCTGCCAAATGTCATGCCCACTCATTTTCAACATAAAATTACAGGCACAACTTCCAATATGGACTAAAGAAATATTAAGGTTAATCTTACATGCTAACAGGATCCACAAATAATTTATGAAGATGGTTGATCCGAAGTAGAATATGCTACTTCTAATGGAAAAAAACAAACAAACAAACAAACAAACAAAAAGGTGTCTGATGTCAGGTTGCTCAGGGGGCTAACTACTTTGTAAAAGTTTGGAACTTCAAGCCCACCTTCATCAACAGGCAGATGAGAGGAAATGAAGAGTGAGTTGGTACCCAATGACCATTGATTGAATCAGTTCCTGCAACTTAAGTCTCTGTAAGAAACCAAAATGATGTCTGGTGCAGAGATGTGCATGTTGTTGAACATGTGGAGGTTCTAGAAGAGTGGCATGCCTGGAAAGAGTAGGCAGCTCCATGTCCTTCCCCACCTACCTTAGTCTGTGACAATCTAGACCTGGTTCTTCATTTCTAGCCTTTAAGATACCCTTTGTAGTAAATCAGCAGAAAGTAAAACAACAACCAAAAAAGATGAATACTAAAAAGAATTGAAAGCAGATCCTGCAGAAGTATTTTTATACACATACTGTAACAATGTGAATCAGAGTTCTCATAGGTTCAGGTTCATATATTTGGCATTGTTCGGGCAAGGTCCATCTTTGGCAAGAGAAATGTATGATTGGTGGAAGGCTTTTAGTGTTCATAGTCTCTCCCTACTTGCTGTTCCCTCTCTCTGCTTTGAATCTGCATTTGAAGATATGAGCTCTCAGTTTCTTGATTCTGCCACCATGTCTGCTGCTTGCTGTCATGCCTCCCCAATACAATGTACTCCCATCCCTCTGGATTGGGAAACTCTTGACTTTTCCATCTATAAGCTGCTTCTGGTCATGGTGTTTTATCACAGCAACAGAAAAGTAATTAATACACACATCATAGCAGCATTATTCCCAGGAACCAGGAGGCTGAATCAACCTAATCCTCATAGATGGCTGAATGGATAAACAAAATGTCACCTGTACATACAACAGGATATTATTCAAACTTAAAAAGGTAATTGTGTCACAATAGAACACAGAAGAATGCAAAGGACTTTATGTGAAGTAATTCACACATAGAAAGACACATATGATTTGTGGTGATTTAAAAGAAAATGGTCCCCAAAGGGAGTGGCACTATTAGGAGGTGTGGCCTTATTGGAGTGGGTACAGCCTTGTTAGAGGAAGTGTGTCACTGTAGTGATGGGCTTTGAAGTTTCCTATGCTCAGGATACAGCCTAGTATCTCAGTTGACTTCCTGTTGCCTGCAAGACATAGGGCTCTCAGCTACAGTCTACCATGTTCCCACCCTGAAGATAATTGATTGAACTTCTAAAACTGTAAGCCGGTCACCCCAATTAAATGTTTTTCCTATATAAGAGTTGCCATGGTCATGGTGTCTGTTCACAGCAATAAAAACCCCAACTGAAACATGATCTAAGTATATGGGGTATCTAGAACTGGCAAACCCACACAAACAGAAAGTAGAATAGTGGCTCTTGGGAACTGCAGAGACGGAAAGTGAAGCATTACTTTAAAGAGTATGCAGTTTCAGTTTTGCCAAAAGAACAAGTCCTAGAGACTACACAACAATGAACATAGATAGCACAACGTAACTTTATTATCAAGATGGGTAAGACTGTAATTCTATGTTATTTTACAATTAAAATTTTAAATATATCAATGTAGCATAATATAGTCTAAAGACAATCTGTGAGGTGTTAACAAAGAGGGCATAGGACTTTTTAATCCACTCCATTCTTTTCCTGTTGTGTCCACTTGTTTTATGGGCTTCCCCACCATAGTCCCAAGTGAGTAACTAGTATCTCATGTTTAATAACTGATTACCCACATTGATTTTCTAAAATATCATCATTTCTGCTAGCATAATAAACACAATATTTTCAAGCCTATATTTCATAGATGTCATCTACTAAACAAATTTTATATCTTGAACTGTCAAAAATGTAAAGAGCTATCAGTTGAAGAAACAATCTGAAATTAGTTTAAAGGACATAACTTGTTGTCAATTGCACTTATATTGAATGAAGATCATCTTACCAAAAGCTGTGGCCACATTTTGTCATGTACGCCTCCTCAATCATATCAAAGCAGATGGGGCTACAAAGAAAAGAGAAAAACCAATCACCAATAAATGTTTGTTAAGGCAAAGTACTACACATTGGAGAGGGCTAGTGACAAAGTCAATCAAATCAAATTTAGTATATGGCAAGGAGTTAAGTAGTCTAATTTCTCATCAGAAATTTACAGGACTATTAGTGAAAGTAAAATATTCAAGCTGACCCAGAGAGCAATAAATTCTAAAATAAGTGCCATGAATACACTTATATTATTCAAATATTAACCTAGCCCATATATGATGTCCTGATGTGAGTTAAATTTTGATTCCTATTCTCCTCTTCCTATAAGGGATCAAAATAATACTCAAAATCCCAGCATTCTTTGCAGTTAAGATTGGTCATAAAGAATATGATTAATGGATATAGGGTTATAGGTAAAACAAGTAACTTGCATGGTCTATATTTAACAAGATAAGTATAGTTAACAAACTAAACATTTTTAATTGGCTAGGACAGAATATTTTCAATGTTCCTACCACAAAGAAATGATAAATGCCGGAAGTGACAGACACACCAAATTGTCATTACATACACACTTGTACTGAAAAGCTGCACTCTAAGTATACAAAATAAGTATGCGTCAACTAAAATAAAAAATAAAGGGTGTTGGGGTGGCTCAGTTGGCAAAACATTTGCTTTACAAGCAAGAGGACCTGAGTTCCATTCTCAAACCCATGTAAAAGTGTGTGATTTGTAATTCAGAGCCAGGAAGGCAGAAACAGAATGGATGTCTGGTTTAGTCTAATTGGTGAAGTCCCAGCAAGAAGACTGCTTCAAATAAGATGAACAGCAATCCTAAAGAGGATATTCAGTTCTCTGGTGTGCTCCTGTTCATACATGCACTTGTGAAAACACACACACACACACACACACACACACACACACACACACACCTACCTTTAGAAAGGTCCCTAAGGAAAACATATATATATTCAATTGTTATATTCCATCCACACTAATTTTGGATATGTCCCCAGCCATAGACTCTCTAGACTTACACAAATCTTGCCCTACATCATGAATGTGAGTTATACCTAAAAATCAAGTCAGGGACTCTTAAAATTCTTATGTTTTAGTATTTAACTTTATTGATTTAACTTCCCACAGTCCAACTGCACAAGATCAGGAATAAAATGATGAGGGAGCTATTTTTCAAACCCTAGGCATTCAATAGAGATCCTAGAAGGGTTAGTAGGAGTACAGCCTACCAGGTTTTAGTAAAGAATTAGTTCTTGAAACTTGCCTTCAAAGTGCTGCTTAATTTTAATTACAAAAAAATCAGAAAGAGCAAACTGGTCTTCAAGTTAACGATGTCTGCCACCAAAGTGTGTGTGTGTGTCTGTGTGTGTGTGTGTGTGTGTGTGTGTGTGTGTGTGTGCGCGCGCGCGCGCGAGCGCGCGTATATGCATGCTAGGCACTCAAATGAAAATATAACCTATGAACAGGAGGAAAAATAGTCAATAAAGAAGAGAAATTGATTACAAAGGAATGTCTGAATAAGTATTACTAAAACTGCCAATGACTACAGGGAACCATAACACAATATTGCCACTAGCAGTCAACATTCCACCCTCAGGACCTCCACTTAGATAAAGGCTGATCCTTGGCTCTGCAGCTACAAAAACTTCAAGAAGAGCTAGGGTTAATGAGTTTACTAAATAATTGCTTAGAGAGTCATAGAGGAAAAGAACACTATACAATCCTGTAACATGGGTGCAGGCTTTTCCAGAGAATTCTGCTTCAGCATGCCATTACAGCAGCTATGTATGTGATCCTATAGCTTTCTAAGTTACATTCTTCAAAGGACGTAATTTATTTATAAGTTTTAAAGGTTAGGTAAGACTTAAATTTTAAGTTTAAAAATTAAGAAAAACATGAACTACTTTATATTTCTTTATACACTTCTAAAGAATTCCACTTTGGTTTTATTAGATCATCATTTAGGTATAGATTAGAGTTGATATGGTAAAACCCTAGGCTGCAAGAAAAAAACAGTTCATTTACAGTGTTTAACATCCTTGTATGAGATGTCTGTAGGAAAACACACTATCTTTCTAGGACTTTTGACACTATAAGTTGTTGAAGTTTCTTGGTTCTCAGTCAGCAAGAAAGGCATACTAGATTAAGGGTTAATGGGACTTCTCATGTCACCTTAATTTTCCCTGCCATTTTAGCCTGTGAAAGTTACCCACCACTTAATACTGTCAATCTTTTGTAAGATATATAAGGCTACAAGCCATAAATATCTAAAATGTCAATCAATCCTACAATTAAATGTAAACTTATTTTCAAATATGATAAAGCTAACAGTGTTCCTGAAATTGAGTGTGTGACTTTAAATAACTGTTCTCAAGAAATGTTTGTGGAGGGGGCATGTCCTCATCTACTGCCTCACATCCCAGCCTCCCATTATGATTTGTCTTAGAACAGGCACAGCAGGGGGACAAGTAGTTAAGAAGGAAAACAACTTCTTACCTCTAATCAAGCCCATTTAAGAACCACTGAATAGTATGCTAGAGCTCAAGCTTTCTAACCACATAAAGGGAAGTACTGACATGAGATTCCAGATCTAATTTCTCATTTTGTCCCTTAGCTATCCCTCTTAAACAGCAGGTAAAAATCATTGTACTGGTGTTATAATAAAATATATCTCCTTTCAACCACTCTAAGGATAAAATGAGATGTGAAATATCTTTAAAAGGGTGTTATCAATGAGTACAATATTATTTGGACTTAAACCTCATTTTGATATAAAAGATTACAGTAATTTGAATTGGTTCACAGTCTGACATAGTATAGAAAAAGATAAAAACACCCAGAGACCAATTAGGAATAAAAGGGGTTGCTAAGACTACCTAATACACAACCAATTCCAAGAGTCTGATCAAAACTAAACATAGTTTAAGAAGTACAAAATAGACTCACTGGTTAACTCTTTGAATAGTCAATCTCACCAGAAAGAAAAATAATGAATTGAGATTCTTAGTGAAATATTAGCAATTTTAACTACAAATATCCATTGGATATTTTCTCTCTAGAACATAAAATATAATACCTATACAATATAGGATCAGAGAGTAGGCTGAATTCTTTTTATGTATTCTATGGGTTTGTATGGGTACTTTGCCAACAAGTATGTCTATGTACCACCTACATGCCTGGTGCCTATGGGGCCTAGAGAAGGGATTAGATCCCTTGGAAATGGAGTTACAGACATTTGTGAATTGCCATGTGGGTACTGGGAATCAGACCCCAGCCTTCTGGGAGAACAAGTCTCCTCTCAAGCCCCTAGGCTTTTTGTTTTGGTTTTTGGGGAATGTTGTTGTTGTTTTTCCAAACAGGTTTCTCTGTATTGTTTTGAAGCCTGTCCTGGAACTCACTCTATTGACCAGGCTGGCCTCAAACTCAAAGAGATCCGACTGCCTCTGCCTCCTGAGTGCTGGGATTAAAGTCATGAACCACCAACGCCTGGATCAAACCCCTAGGCTTAATGACCTTTTTATACAGCCAAGTGATGAATTAATAATCATTTAGTCTCACTCCTTAGCTGGTTAGTTTTAACTGTCAACACAACCTAGAACCCCATGGAAAGTGTCAACCAAGGGACTGCCTGACTAGATCAGGTTGACCATAGGCATGCCTGTAGGAGGTTTTCTCCATTCTTAACTAGTGTTAAGATGACCCAAGCACACTGTGGGCAGCAGCATAGGGTTTGGAGTCCTGAACTGTAAAGGAGTGGAGAAAGCCAGCTGAGTCATAGGCAAGAAAACTAGCAGCATGGAACATTCCTCTCTCTCTGCTTGACTGTGGATGAGACTCTTTTAAGCTCCTGCATTGATCTCTCCACAATAATGAACTGTAACTGAAACTATTAGCCAAATAAACCTTTTCTTCACTAAGCTGCTTGTAGTCAAGGTATTTGTCACAGCAACAAAAATGAAACCAGGACACACCTAATAACAAAAGCAAGTGCCAGCTGCTCCAATTCACCTCCAGTTCCCTATACCATAGCATGTATTATTCTAAAAGGGTTCAACAGTCAATGTCTAAATTATATGCTAATAACTGAATAATATTGACTTCTCACTTTTTACACCTTTTAAATGACCTAAGGACGCTGGTATATTTGTTTTCTTCTTTTTGAAAATGGAAACACAAGTAATGGCTAAAAATTAAATTCCACAAGCTGCCTATTTGTTTTACTAGCTTCTACCTTATCGTGTGACAGTACTGACTGGACAAGAATGCAAACACCTCAGCCGGGCAGGGAGTGATAGGTAGCACACAGCTTTAATCCCATCACTTGGGAGGCACAGGCAAGCAGATCTCTGAGTTCAAGGCCAGCTTGATCTACAAAGTTAGTTCCAAAACAGCCAGGGATACACAGAAAACCCTGTCTCAAAAACAAACAAACAAGCAAACAAGAATGCAAACATCTCTTAGATCCAACCATATACTGTTTAAATTGTATACAAATACCCACAACCATTCAACAAGTGTTACCTTTGAATCTAAACAAAAGTAGAAATACAAATTGTATTTCTGAAGAAGCAAGAAAGCATATCCAATCTGTCTCAATGGTTACAATCTCTAGCCCTATCATATTTAATAATACCATACAAGACCAACTCTAAAGTGAACCAACTTCCCCAAGAATAGTGTTCAAGCCAGTTTTCTATGTCATAAATATTAAGTCAATCAACAAGTCCCTTCACAGGAAAGGCCCAGCCAGGATTCTACTAGTTTTTGAGCAGAAAAGGTGAATTAAGCTCTCTTTATCCTACAACTAGTATTTAAAACCCAATTAAAACCGAAAGAATTCAAGACAATCAGATTCATCTTTTGCTTAAAGCCCCTCTTTTAGATGCCAAATAACTGAATTCTACTGTGTCATTCAAGATGCCAGATGTGATGCAATGACTATACAAGCGTTTTTAAACTCAGAAGTTCCAGTATATATACACAGCACTATAATAGTGTCGTGCAACACTGAACACTATTTAATAATGTGTTTCCCTCATTACGATAGTTGAAACGTGGAATTGGTGGTGAACAAATTTTGACTGCATTATTACCAACAATAGAATTACAAGTGTCCTACTCATTCAAAGAGGAGACATTTCACATTCCCACACCCAATGGGTACTTAAAAAGATCACTCTGTAAAACATCCCCAACCATATTTCGAGCACCATCTACTGTATTTACAATACAGAGCTGACCAGCAATTCCATCCCTCAGAATCTCAGGCAGTAGTCTTCTCCCTCTGAAAATCTAATTCACATGAACTACTCCAGACTGATGCCTAATCCACTAAATGACCAAAAAAAACCATTCAAGACCTGGACCAAATATTTCCTATTCTACATAATCACTTACTGGACCTCCACCTCTATCCTTAGGCAGTCCCTTACATGCCTTCAGTTCCCGGACACCAGCACCCACATCAGTATAACCCCATTTTGTCACTTTGTCTCTGGATCCAAGTCCACCTCCACCTCCCAACCACACTCAACCCGGCTCGAACCCAAGCACCACCAAGCTGGGCTCCCCACCGGACCCTGTCAGCTTCAGCATCGCACACTCGTGGTCGAGCGCCCAGGGACAGCTCTGCGAACCCACCAGACGAAGTCGTTGCTTTTGTCCTCGTAGGAGTTGTGGATCCCGTTGCAGAGCGGGGCAAGCAGAGGTCGCTTCCTACTGCTGCTGCTGCTGCTGCCCAGGCTGGAGCTGCTCCCTCCAACACCGGCGCTG